TCATAATTGTAATCAATTATCAAATTAAAAAAATATATATGTGGCACAATTTCCTGCTAAAATGGATGTTTATGACTGTTACTCTGGTCACAAACTAGTGAAAAACAAAACAAGATACACATAGAAACAGTATTACTTTTTTAATAAATGCAAAACAATTAAATTATAATAAAAATTTATAGCTGGCTTTAAGTTTTTTTTTTAAATATGAAAATGTCACTATTCTCATGCTGTATTGTTTATGAATGTATAGCTGTCAGAGATAAATAATAATATTAAAATTATTAAATAATATATAAATAAATAATAATAAATTCTAAATATAAATACACTTAAAAATGTAGAAATTAAAATATAGAAAAAATATAAGTGGCACAATTTCCTGCTATATATCAGCTCACTGAAAATGAAAGTTTATGAGTGCAATGAAAACACAAAACTTACGAAATACACAGAAACAGTTTTACTTTTTTAATAAATGCAACAATACTCCAATTCTGGTAACAGAATTCAAGCTTTTACAGATTTGGTTTACAAAAAGAATCTCACACGTAACTTCCCTATTGAACAACTTAAATAATACAGTACAAAAATAGACTGCTTTATCATGAAACGACTCATTCAGTAACAGTGGCACTGTAGTCATAGAAAACAAAAATAATAGCAATAATGTAAAAACAACCAAAGATCCTGGATGCAGCAGTAAAACAGAGACACATTACATTCACTGGCGTTGTGTGTGTGACACTGTGTGAAGGCACTGCGGCTTACAGCATATGAGCTCACGCCAGACCCGCGTCTTTAGCCATTCCATAGAAGATTCCTTTCTGAGCGAGCAGGTTAGTCGGCGTGTCGAACTCTGCGATCTTTCCCTTGTCCAAAACGAGCACTCTGTCACAAGAGAAAAGCACTGAATTCAACATGTGTACACGCTCTGCCTTCATGGAAACGATGTAGGGGTGGGTGAAATACCACTGCACACGCCTTATGTGACACACTTACGTGTCAAAATGGCCATCTTTGCGAGTATACAGAGGTGTTTATGTCTTAAGTGAATATAAACAGTTGAGAAAGATGCAAACACATGTGTATCAGTATATTAGATCCATGCATTCAGTCTTAAAGTGCATCATTAATGTCAATCAAACCACAAAAGACAGAAAATCTCTTGCTGCTCTTTACACCACTGAACAAAAAGAATACAAATGTAATTGCTGCTTTTTATCTCACAATTCTGACTTTTTCTCTGAAAAAGTCGCAATTCTGAGAAATAAAGTCAGATTTGCGAGATTCAAGGAGTATTCAAAATGTATCATTTAACTTAAAATCTGCAAAAAGTGGAAAAAAGTAGAGATTAGGCATAAAATACTGTTCAGAATCATTCATACATGTTGCAAATCTGAGAAATAAACTCTTTATTCTGAGAAATAAAGTCAGAATTGCAAGATATAAACGTATAATTCTGAGAAATAAAGTCAGAATTGTGTGATATGAACTCTATTCTGAGAAATAAAGTCAGAATTATGTGATATAAACTCTATTCTGAGAAATAAAGTCAGAATTATGTGATATAAACTCTATTCTGATAAATAAAGTCAGAATTATGTGACATAAACTCTATTCTGAGAAATAAAGTCAGAATTGTGTGATATGAACTCTATTCTGAGAAATAAAGTCAGAATTATGATATAAACTCTTCTGAGAAATAAAGTCAGAATTATGATATAAACTCTATTCTGAGATAAAGTCAGAATTATGTGATATAAACTCTATTCTGATAAATAAAGTCAGAATTATGTGACATAAACTCTATTCTGAGAAATAAAGTCAGAATTGTGTGATATGAACTCTATTCTGAGAAATAAAGTCAGAATTGCAGGATATAAACTTATAATTCTGAGAAATAAAGTCAGAGTTGTGTGATATGAACTCTATTCTGAGAAATAAAGTCAGAATTGCAGGATATAAACTTATAATTCTGAGAAATAAAGTCAGAGTTGTGTGATATGAACTCTATTCTGAGAAATAAAGTCAGAATTGCAGGATATAAACTTATAATTCTGAGAAATAAAGTCAGAGTTGTGTGATATGAACTCTATTCTGAGAAATAAAGTCAGAATTGTGTGATATGAACTCTATTCTGAGAAATAAAGTCAGAATTGCAGGATATAAACTTATAATTCTGAGAAATAAAGTCAGATTTGTGAGATACAAACTCGCAATTGTAAGAAATTGTAAGAATTGATTTCCTCAAAATTGGACTAAGCTAGATCTTATATATGTTTGATGCTGAGATCAAATATCAATAAAAACCTTTAATCTCACAGTTATTTTTTTGGTTTTTCACAAAATAAGAATTAAGATTTTTCAAATCAGCTTTAATGCTCCTATAAAAACAACACAGTTAAATGTCAAAAATGACAAAAAGGAGTATTCAAAATGTATAATTTAACTTAAAATCTGCACAAAAAAAAAAAGTGGAAAAAGTAGAGATAAAATAATGTGTTCCGAATCATTCATACTTGTGATAAAGGCTGAGCATTGAACAGATAGTTGTAAAATTGTCATCAAAAGCAAAAATGCTACAAAATGCATCACATTTTGTGAGAAAAAGTGTGACCTGCTCCATCAAAACAGACAGTATTTCTGGACTCAGCAGCTCGAACAGAGTAAGAAACGAGAGGTACCTGGTGTAGTCCATGATGGTGTTGAGTCTGTGAGCGATGGTGAAAACGGTGCAGTCCTCGAACTGCGTGCGGATGGTGGACTGGATGAGATCGTCCGTCTCCAGATCAACCGCGGCCGTGGCTTCATCCAGGACCAGGATCCTGGTCTTCCTCAGTAAAGCTCGCGCCAAACACACCAGCTGCCTCTGACCCACACTGAACACACACTGGATTCAGAACTCGCTAGACGTACATACAGTACTGTACATACGCTCAAAATGCAACACACTTACAGCCAAATATAGAGAACCAAAACATGCATGAACTAGGGCTAGATGATTTAGCACTCTCTGCTGCTGCTCACATGGCGGTCAAAATTTTTTTAAATTAATTAATTAATTAATAATTTCTACTATATTTTAGTCTGATCATGTTTTTTATTTAATATATTTAATTTTTAGGGCTTTTTATGTTACTAAATTATATTTATGGAATAGTTATGATCCATTTATTACCTGTTAACCACTTTTTTAACACCTGAAAATGAAATTTCCGATTTAAACGGCTGTAAATTTTGAATGTTTTGGAGCACGGACTTAAGTATTGGTCTCTTTTTAAAGAAGACACTTGGCAGATTATTAAAAAATTCAAAGTTATAGACGTTTATTATTATGAAAAATGCCGAAAAATACTATTTTTAAATTTTATATAAAATATATCTTCCAAAACATGTTTAACTCTAAAACTGCATGAAAATGAAAGCCATTAATCTAAACAAGTTGTGCTCCAAATTTGAGGTTGATATCACAAAAAATGAGGCGCAAGTACCAAAGGTTTCTACTAGATGACATTTGCTTCCTATTCGTTTACAATACCGTCATTTTTGACCGCGAAGTGTTATTATTCAAAACCATTTAACCTTTTTGAATCATGTCCAAAGTTTTTTTTATGTGTTCACACAGCAAGTGCCAAAACCTTTACCAAGTTTTGTTCCATTCCGATGAAGTAATAAATTCTAAAAAACCAAAAACCTAATTTTTTTCTGTCAGAAACGACCAAACAGCTGCAGAGGGTTAAAATAAGAGTATTTTATCGAGAGTATACAGTGATGTAATGCACACAGGCATATTGCTGTGTTATTTCTAACTGCACCTGAGGTTTTCTCCTCCTTCGGAGCACTCCAGCTCGAGCTTGGACGGCTGGTTGCTGACAAACTTCTTCAGATGAGAGAGTTCCAGCACTTTCCACACTTCTTCATCGCTGTATTTCTCAAAGGGATCGAGGTTCATCCGCAGAGTCCCGGAGAACAGGACGGGCTCCTACAATCAGTCACACAAGACACTGTGAGATATAAAACATGTGCATTCAAAATAAACTTATATTCAGATAAAAACATCATTTATTTATCTTCAACATGAATTCATGTGAATGGCAAAACTCAACGATAATTAGAGTTGAGTATAAGTATTGTTAAAATGATTATTTATTAAATAATAAATAAATTAAATAACATAAGCAGCACCATTTCCTGCTACTGATTGCAAATTAATAAAAAACAAAATAAAATATAACAACATTAACATATATTTGATTCAAAAATATATATTTAACTTTATTGAACTCAATATTTAACTAATGCTGTTTTGTTTATGAATTTATAGCTGTCACAGTAAATAATAAGCTATTTATTAAGTAATATATAAAATGTTATAATAAATTATCAATTAAAATTAAATCTTATAAGACAGTTTCCTGCTATTAATGCAAATTAATTAAAATGAAAATGTAACAACATTAATATAGATTTGATTTTTAAAAAATCAATATTTAACTTTATTAAACTCAATATTTAACTAATGCTGTATTGTTTATGAAATTATAGATGTCACAGTTAAATAAGTTACTTATTGAATGACATATAAAATTCTAATTTTAATAAATTATAAATTAAAAAATTAATTAATTTAATATAATTTAAATTAATTAAATTATATAAGCAGCATAATGTCCAGCTATTAATGCAAATGAATAAAAAAGAAAATATAACAACATTAATATATATATATATATATATATATATATATTTAACTATATATATTTACAATTTGTAAATATTGTAATAAACACCAACAACAACAAAAAATTGAATAAAAGTTCAAAACACACTGCAGCATTTTAGTAACTGTTAAAAGGTGAAATGAGGTTAAGAACAGGTTTTACTAGAGAAAACAAACAACGGGAAAAAAGTTCAATGTTAATAATCTGGACGCCATTAGCTTATAACAAGCTAATTAGCAGCGTTTAGTGAGCCTGAAGGTGCTTTGGCATCAAAATCACTATCAACTGCTTTATGGCTCTGAATGGGGAAATGAGCTTTTTCTGCTGACCCATCATGAGCGCAACACTAATACAGCAGTAAACGCCATTCCCAAGCTGTGCTTAAATTAAAACAGATGCTTTACTGCCAACAAAGCTGAAGAAAACCCAAAAGCCCGACCTGAGGGATTATGGTGAGTTTGGAGCGCAGGTCGTGAAGGCCGATCTCAGAGATCTTCACCTCGTCGATCACGATCTCTCCATCCGCCGCCTCCAGCAGACGGAACAGACACAGAGTCATCGAGGACTTCCCAGCGCCGGTTCGTCCAACGATACCGATCTGCAGAGCCATACACCACCGTTCAAATCATCATACAGAAACCATCGCTGAATGTGATATATAGTATATGTGACCCTGGAGCACAAAACCAGTCATAAGGGTCAATTTTTTTAAATTGAGATTTATGCATCATCTGAAAGCGAAATAAATAATATTTCCATTGATGTATGGTTTGTTAGGATAGGATAATATTTGGCCGAGATACAACTATTTTAAAATCTGGAATCTGAGGGTGCAAAAAAATCTAAATATTGAGAAAATCATCTTTAAAGTTGTCCAAATGAAGTTCTTAGCAATGCATATTACTAATCAAAAATGAAGTTTTGATATATTTACTGTAGGACATTTACAAAATATCTTCATGGAACATGATCTTTACTTAATATCCTAATGATTTTTGGTATAAAATAAAAATCTATAATTTTGACCCATACAGTGTATTGTTGGCTATTGCTACAAATATACCCCAGCGACTTAACACTGCTTTTGTGCTCCAGGGACACATATACTGTTTCAGTTTATTTATTTATCCCTGTAGGGAAAGCACATTTGCAGCATACGCTCAAACAGACGCTAAACAACTCACATTTGGCAAAACAATAGTTTAATACTGATAAATCGAATTTAAAATAACCAGTCTAGCTGACCATTAGTTACCACTAGAGGAAGAAGAATTTAAAGGGATAGTTCACCCAAAAATGAAAATTTACCCATGATTCACTCACCCTCAAACCATCCTAGGTGTATATGACTTTCAGACGAATACAATCGGAGTTATATTTAAAAGCGTCCTGGCTCTTCCAAGCTTGATAATGGCAGTCAATGGGTGTTATTTTTCAAAACTCCAAAAGAAGTCCAATAAAGAGCATCCATCCATCATAAAAAGTGCCTCGCATGGCTCCGGGGGTGAAGAAAGGCCTCCTGAAGCGAATCAATGCGTTTTTGTAAGAAACACATCCATATTTAAAACTTTATAAAGTGTAATCTCTAGGTTCCGCTAACAGTCGTACGCGCGTATGATGTAAGGCGTAGCGTAAGGTCCGGTGAGATATGTCTTGCGAGAACCGACGTTTGTCAACAGGAGCAAAAGAAGCAAAGTTTCTTTACTTTAGCAAAGGAAAACCAGTCTCCTCTTGGCTTATATCAAAATCCTCCCACATTTTTCTTTACAAATCTACTTTTTGCACTTCTAATTCGTGACCAGTGTTTTGTTTTGCTCTCTCCTCTGTGCTTCCGCATTCGTCACTTCTCACCGGAGCTTACGCTACGTCCTACGTCATCCGCCAGAATGAACGCGCGTACGACTGTTAGCGGAAGCTAGAGATTACAGTTTATAAAGTTTTAAATATGGATATTTTTCTTACACAAACACATTGATTTGCTTCAGGAGGCCTTTATTCATCCCCCGGAGCTGTGTGGAGCACTTTTTATGATGGATGGATGCGCTTTATTTGACTTCTTTTGGAACACCCAAAACACCCATTCACTGCCATTATAAAGCTTGGAAGAGCCAGGACATTTTTAATATAACTCCAATAGGATTCGTCTGAAAGAAGAAAGTCATATACGCCTAGGATGACTTGAGTGAGTAAATCATGAGCAAATTTTCATGTTTGGGTGAACTATCCCTTTAAGAATTGAATTGCTTGGGGAATAAAAGATCATTTCGACCTGTTTTTAGAGCATCTGGGAACACAATATCGTCGGCCAGATGGTAACAATTCAAAAGTATAAGATAAAGGATGCCTCTTATCATTCACAATGATGTTAGCCTTATTCAACAGCCTTTCTTTATATATACTCTCTATGCTCTGTAACTTTATCCCTAATCATTTACTTGCTGGTTAGTGAGCTCCTCTGAGCCTCGGAAGCATCACCATACCAACAAATCACACAAAATGTCAAAATGCTTTCAATAAAAGCCCCATAAAATATCAAAAGCATTCTGCTATGGACATTAAAAGAAAGTAATTTCTTTAAGAAATGCATTCTCTGTTGAAGCTTCTTGCATACTTTATCAATCCATGCATCCCACCTAAGTTTATTGTCCAGCATGATACCGAGGTATTTATAATTTGTTACTAATTGCTCCCCATTAATTAATGTAGGACGGGTTACATTTTGCTCTCTCTCTCTCTAAAATCACTAACCATCTCCTTAGTTTTGGAGATATTCAAGAGGAGATTTTAATTTTCACACCAATTTAAAAAGAAATCCAAAACAAAAAATCGAGTACTCGATTATAAAAAAGTCGATTAACTGACAAAATACCGGAAGTGGCGCATTCCACGGACGAGAATCCATGAAACGCATTATTAGACTGTTTTCAAAGGCTGCACGATATATTACAACCATTTAAAAATCATAATAAAGCATATTGTGAATTAAATTTAATAAATATATGCGCTGTGTGCTTCATTTCTATGCATGTAGGTTCACAGTAAATGCTGCTCCACACAAACAGTCATCATTTATATGTGCGGTCGGAGCGTCTCAAACTCCATCTTTGCGTACTGCTATGAGTCTGAGCTGCTCATAACGTTCATCCAGAAACAATGCGCACCATTCTATCAGATTTATAAACCTACGCCAGCACAGGAGAATGCATAACTGTTCATCGCGACTTCAAAATAAGAGTTTAAACCCTCGCTATGAGTTCGCATGTTTTGATGTCCACATGTTCTTGTTCAAGAAATTACAGTGGCTGTCGCATTTCTATCATAAAGAAGTGGCCAAATATTAAAGATTAAGTGGACATTTGAATTAAAAGTTGTTTAGTCAATATTAAACAAGGATTACATCGCGCTGTAAAGTGTAAAAACAATCGACAGGCCGTTGGCGCCTCTGCATATAATACATAATATACATTAGTTATGATTATATTGTTTTATTACATTGTAATAAATTATATTTATTACATGTATTTTAACCATTTTGTTCACTAAAACCACATGATTACTTGCTTTTGATATTTTATTTGAACCAATTATTATTGCCTCATTGCTATTATATATGTATTTTAAGTCATTTTAAAGTCTATTGTTTGATTAGGTCTATTTTTATTGCAAAAAAAAAGAAAAAAGGATCAGATTACTCGATTAATCGTCAGAATAATCGACCGATTACTCGATTACCTAAATAATCGTTAGTGACAGCCCTGCTTTATGTGCATCAAGCGGTTAAATGTAACATCATTGTGAATGTGCTGCATTAAAGAAGGCCGAATAATGCGCTTTCCCCGAAAACAAAACATGCTGCGCAACTTTGTTTTGCCCACCAGTATTTACATGCATTCAAACAGCCATTCGGCTTTCTGTATTCGCTATGGTGTTTATCAAACTATAAATACTCAAAGATTTAGTATTTATCTTCAAGCATTTGTTTACACGTAAACATTTTTACATTTGTATGGAAGCTTGGTTACACAATGAGATAAAAAACAAAACAGGTCATTGCGACTTTTTTTTTATTTCACAATTCTGAGACGAAACACGTGCAATTCTGAGAAAAAAAGTCCTAATTAAGATACATTCAGAATTCAGACTTTTTCCCCCTCATAATTGTGAGTTTATATCTCACAATTCAGACTTTTCTTCTCAGAATTACTACAAAAAAAAGTCAGAATTGTGAGATAAAAAAATTGACAATGCATCATTGTGTCTTTTTACTGTATACTGAATGAAGCAACAGTCTTGGCAAAAGTCTATTTAACTGGACTTGATTTTAGTCTGTTTGCCTATTTAGGATTTATTAAAAAAATTCTAAATTAAAAAAAAAAATGCTATTAAAAAATATTTCTGAAATGCACATTATTATTTTGTTGCACAGCCATACAGAATATTGATTCCTGTAACAGAGTTAGTTTCAGCTGAGAAGAGCATTTCTGCGCTTTAATTGCACGTGTGATCAGAAACGAATGCAGGTCAGTGAGAGCAGCGCTGTAATGACGCTCCTCACCTTCTCTCCTCCTTTGATCTCCAGCGAGATGTTCCTCAGCACCAGGTCCAGTCCCTCGCGGTACCTCACGCTGTAGTCTATGAACTCCACGTTCCCCTTCGGAGGCCAGTCTGGAGGAGGCTGTTTGTCCTTCACTATCCATGGAGCCTATGGACGATTTGAACGTTTTACATGTCAGTCGAGTTAACTCTCGCTGTCTGCGTGCAGAATAAGTGAACCAGATTTAATGCTCATATTCAACAGTCTTTGCTTGCAAAAAAAAAAAAAGAGATAAAATCAGCTGTTTGATCCTAAGAAATTGATTATATATTCTAGTATATGAATGATACTGCACATGTACCTCAGTCGCTGTCTCTGAATACTCCTTCACTCTCTCCACTGCTACGATGTTGCTCTCGAGGTCAGAGGTCATCCTCACCATCCAGTTCAGGGACATAGTGACCTATTCAGCACAAAAAACAAGCGTGAACGCAGAATACTGGCACTTGTTTTGATTATATTTGCATGATCTCATAATCTAGTTTTCTAATACATGTGCATTGTACCTTGTGAACATTGTTGGCTCTGTGACGAATTGCTTATGTTCCTCTATTATAAGTCCCTTTGCTTAAATGCATACTCTACCAGTCAAAAGTGTGTAATAATTAAGAATTTTTAATGTTTCTGAAAGAAGTCTCTTCTGCTCACCCAGGCTGCATTTGCTTGATCGAAAATACTGTAAAAACAGTGAAATATTATTACAATGTAAAATAACTGTTTTCTATGTGAATATCTGTTCAAATGTAATTTATTGCTGTGATCAAAGCTCTGCTTCATATTTTTCTGGAAACCATGACACACTAGCATTCAAAAGTCTGGGGTAAGTAGGATTAAAAATAATAATAATAGTAATACTTTTAATCATCAAGGATGCATTAAATTGTGTAAAGACAGTAAAGAAGTGACAGTAAATACATTTATAATGTTGCAAAAGATTTCTATTTCAAATAAATGCTGTTCTTTTGAACTTTCTGTTCATCTGTGAATCCTGAAAAATAAAATGCATCACAGTTTCCACAAAAATATTCACAGCACAGCTCTTTTCAACACTGATAATAATCAGAAATGTTTCTAATAATCAGCATATTAGAATGATTTCTGAAGATCATGTGACACTGAAGACTGGAGTAATGATGCTGAAAATACAGCTGCGCATCACAGAAATAAATTACAGTTTAACACATATTCACATAGAAAACTGCTATTTTAAATTGTAATAATTAGTGCTGTAGTCAAGACCAAACCAGCACTCCTGAAATTCATCTGAAAGATCCACATTTACTGCCTGAAAAATATCTAATATTTAATCATTTATGATGTTAACAAATAAATCAGACAATGCAATAAACCAGACAACAGCAATTTAGTGACATCCCTGCAGTTGTGGTCTTGAAATAAAATCCCGAGTCATTTTAGTCTGGGACCGAGATAAGACCAAGACCTTCAAAAAATGGTCTCGGTTACTACAACACTGGCAATAATATTTCAGAATTTTACTGTATTTCATCAAATAAATGTAGCCTTGGTGAGCAGAAGAGACGTATTTCAGAAGCTTCGGTAGTGTAAAGCGTAAATATTTCTCTGAAGTCCTACTGCATGTTATTCGTGCATCAGAAAATGCAATAATAGCAAAATATGTGACCCTGCAGCACAAAAACAGTCTTAAGTCGCTGGGGTATATTTGTAGCAATAGCCAAAAATACATTGTATGGGTCAAAATTATAGATTTTTCTTTTATGCCAAAAATCATTAGGATATTAAGTAAAGATCATGTTCCATGAAGATATTTTGTAAATGTCCTACCGTAAATATATAAAAACTTAATTTGTGATTAGTAATATGCATTGCTAAGAACTTAATTTGAACAACTTTAAAGATGATTTTCTCAATATTTAGATTTTTTTGCACCCTCAGATTCCAGATTTTCTAATAGTTGTATCTCAGCCAAATATTGTCCGATCCTAACAAACCATACATCAATGGAAAGATTATTTATTCAGCTTTCAGATGATGCATAAATCTAAATTTCAAAAAATTGACCCTTATGACTGATTTTGAGGTCCAGGGTCACATATAACAAAAAATCTGCTCCAGATGATTTGTGAAGTTCACCTTTTTTACCTCATCCAAAGAACACATGACCTGTGCTTATACAGTACGTAATGAGTGTGATTTTACCTGCAGAGCGTAAGACACAGACAGACCGACCAATCCGGGGCTGAGCTTCTCCTTCCCAATCACAGCAAACAGAGCAGCAAACAGCACAATGCAATTACCGATGAACTCGATGCGAACCCCCAACCACCTGTGTGCATCCAAACACAACACTGTTACTACTGAGTGATGCTCAAATCTGAATTTCAGGAGGACATTACCCCATAAAAGCACACAGTAAAGACTGAAGACATGCGTGAGGAGCTGCATGCATCCAAACAAGAGCGAGACCAAACCTACCTGTTGGAAACAATACCAGGGTAGTAACTCTTTTGGTTCTCGTCCACTTTCATATCGCTCAAGAGAACAAAGGCAGTGTTTCGGCCGTAGGCGCGGATCACGCTAGTGCCTGTGACGGTCTCCGAAAAATGAGAATATATAGGAGACCTACTGACAGACTCCAGTCTCTTAAGCTGCCGAGATGTGGCTACATAAAATCTCTACAGAGGAAACCAGGGAGAGAAATAAACAATCTGCTATTACAAGAACAGAGAACAACAGCAGCATACATGCATATTCAATATTCATACACATACAAATGAGTGAGGACTCAGAAAACACTTTTTCGTCATTCGACTGGCAACATGCAAGATTTAGAAAAAAGTTCTACATCTTGTTCTAAAAAGTTCTAAAGTTCTTTTCAATTAAAGCTTTAAAATTATGCTTTATTTCAATCAAGCACAATGACCTAATATTACAGGTTTGTCTGAACTCTATAGGAATGTTTGGTCAGTTTATTACTAACTAAATCCATAATTAAATGATTTGTAATAAGAGAAAATGTCTAAAAGAAGAATGCAAGTTATTTTATGGTGGCCAAAAGCTTCTATATAATCATTTTTGATCTGTCCTACAATGAAAAAATATTTAAAGTTAACTCCTCTTTTGTCTCATGCACAATACAGTTTGGGGGCAGTAAGATTTTTATATTTTTCTGAAATACGTCTCTTCTGCTCAACAAGGCTGCATTTATTTGATTAAAAATACTGTAAAAATTCAGAAATATTATTGCAATGTAAAATAGCTGTTTTCTATGTGAATATCTGTTAAACTGTAATGTATTTCTGTGATGTGCAGCTGTATTTTCAGCATCATTACTCCAGTCTTCAGTGTCACATGATCTTCAGAAATCATTCTAATATGCTGATTATCAAAAACATTCCTTCATTCATTCAGAGAAACCACAGCACGTTTGATTTTTAATCTACAGTCTGTTAGTGTAGTTTCTAGAATCCTCACTTTTAGAATCAGTTATCAAACAATATTTCAGAATACATGATATGAATTACTCTCAACATTCAAATATTTTAAAACAATGTTCACATTAAGGGATCAGATATCAATGGAATCAAACACCATCATAATGTTGTAGTGTTTGGTTTGGCTTTAGTTTGTATATATAATGAAATCAATGAGAATTTAAAAGAATGCATTTGATTTTTTTGGTTTCATGCAACAAGCGATTCGTTCAGTCATTGCACAGAACATATAGAAAGCAGTTTGCGCCATGCAAAGCCTAAGCAATACGTAAATGAGTGTGAAATCAAAAGACAATCAGGAGGGGTGCAAGACCAAGATACAGTTGTGCAATAAGAGGTTTAGTACCTAAAATATCTTGAGAATCACAGAAGACTGACTAGACCAAAACTAATGAAATAACACCAGAGGCCCATCTTAAAAAACATCATTATCATTATTATACAGTATCAGATGTTACAAGCTACTTTTGTTACCACCGTAATGCTGTTTTTCTGTCATCCGCTTGTAATTAGAATCTGAACCGGTTAAACAGAATTTAACAATATGATGTTAGTAGCCTAAATATTAGTAGTAAGTTAAAGGAATAGTTCAGCCAAAAATGAACATTAATGCCATCCCAGATGCATATGAGTTTGTTTCTTCATCAGGTTTGTAGAAATGTAGCACTGCATCAGTGTCTCTGTACTGAATGGGTGCCGTCAGAATGAGAGTCCAAACAGCTGATAAA